ATTTCAAACTTTTTACTGCAAAAAAAGACAAAATTTGTTAAATAACATTTCCTCAATAATTTTTAAGCAAAATTATGCTGATTTTTTTTATTTTAAAATTGATAATTATATGAAAAACAGCAAAATAAATTCAGAAATATTTAAGTAATTGGAGCTCTTCTGCAGGGAAAATTTCAATATAATTAAATCAGAAATAATTAAATAAATAAATATGTTTTCTTAACTTTAATTTTTATACGATAATTAATCACAGTAAAAATATAAAGAATAATTAGACTTTTAAAGTAATTAATCTTCGGTATTCTTTTATAAAAAAATGTAGAAGCAATTTCTTTATTGTTGGAAATCTTTATAAAGTTTTTGTGTAGTATTAAATTCAACATGAATGTAAATTGAATTATTTTCCCATCACGTTCAACTCAATAAATGCTGCTACTTTTTCAAATGCCACCATATCTAACCTAAAATGGTGTAGAACAGAATGCAAATTCGATTGGATATCCTATTATTTAAAGATAATAGAAGATTAAAAACAGAATTCTTTATGATTTTTTCTGAAATGCATCCATTATTCAAAATGTTTTCACACTTGTATTAAATTTTCAAATGGTTTCGAATGACGAGTCCATGCCATTTCATTTCTAGAAGATTTTTAATTTAAAACACTTTACAAAGAAAATGTACAAAAAAATCTATTTAGTTTTATTAAAAAAACATTCAATTAAGCATTCAATTTTAAATATTTTTTTGGTTATAAATGTTTTGCATTTATATTAAAAAAGAAGATTCTTAAATTAAGTTTTATTTCTGATTTTAATTCTGTCAATAACACAAATGACGCACTTTTCATTTGTATTTTCATTACATTAAATAAAATAAAGAAATATATATTTATTTTTATATTCGAAATATATATAAAGTAATTCTAGTTATTGTAATAAAAGGTTAAATTTCTGTTTAAAGAAAAATTTTAATTATTTTAAAGTAATTTCATATCTCATTCGCGATCTTTATTTGTCTTACTTTTAAATTAATTAAAAGTACATAAATAACAAAAATAAAAAGTAATATTTTAAACGATTTTTATTACATTTATTTATCTATAAAATTAAATTAATACGAAATAAAATTATATATATTTTTAATTTANTTTATTTTCTCTTATTTTTTCCACTTTCTTAATGGAAAATTTGCTCAGGAAATTTCTAGCGTAATTCGACATTCTAAACATAATAAATTACTCAAGCTACAAACAGAAAATTATAGAACCCATCGACTCTTGCGAAATGCATTAAGCAGAATTACAAACGAGCACGCACATTATATCGAAACTCACTCTTGAAAATGGCCTTGTTACACTTTGCTTTTTACATAATTAGAGAGAAACAAGATTTAAAAATAGTGAAATGATGATTTCTTCATTTTCGATTTTATTCATTTTTTTCCAAGAACACCATCGCTGAAGGAAATAATATTGTAAAAAAAATTATCTTGTTAAGACAATTCTTTCCTAGCAATGGTATTACAAGTTCCCCCCAAAAATGTCATTATTAATATATTTTGTAAAATCACATCAAAATCATTTGCTACAACGAATAAAATCAGAAAAAATCAAATAATTTATAAATTATTGAGGAAATAAAAATAAATTTTTTATTTTCTGAAATTTTCATTTCAAGAGAATAAAATAAAATAAAAGTGACTAACGACATTATAAGAGAAATTTAAATTTAATACTTTTATATACAATTGGGTCCTTTAAAAATAAATTTACATTTAAAACATATAAAATATGTATTTTTAAAAAGAAAATATATAAATAATGTAATTAAATTATAGTTTTGGCTCGAATTTACATTGCAGAATATTACAAGAATTTTCCAATTCTTTGTAATGCTCTATTAAACCGTGTATTATAAAACTCAATCAGATGTTACGAGGTCTATTGATATATTTTAAAGTAATGCTAACATTTATGATTTTGATATATAAAAATTTAATAATTAAAAATTGATTTAATATCAAATTATCAACTGTAATAATTGTACTATCTTATTTGATTTTTTTAAAATAATGGCTAGTTCGATTATTCCTTAAAACATATTCTATTTTCAAAACAAATGTGATTTTTATCTTTTAATTTTATCAAATAATTTAGGCAAATAAATGGTTAATTTGCATGAGACGTAATCCGCGAATTTCCTGAAAAATAACCTCACGCTGATTGATTATTGTGTACTTTTATAATTAACGTTGCTTAATTTGGCAACTTTAATTGGTTTTACGTTGGTACAAATTCTATACATTTGCAATTTGGTTAAAAATTTGACTTTATTATTAACAAAATTAATTTTTGATCGAATTAATAATTTTTCTTCAAAATTGCCATTTAATTGTAATTAAATCGCGTAGAAGGATAACAGGAAATAAATCACTTAGTTATTAATTAATTTATATAAAATTTTCGAGTATTTAATAATTTTTACACATAACCGAAACCTAAATATCTGATAGAGTAGCCAATTTTTCTTCTGATGTACTTCATTGCAGACAGTTAAGTTTACGGTCAATGTAACTAACAGCACTCCACTATAACTACATCTAAGGTCAGAAAAGTCATGTAGTTGCCATGTTACTTTGGCTTCCCGAATGACTCGTAATAGTAAGAGAGTTTTCAGGGCGTTGCTAGTAATGATGATGTACACTACTGCAGTGTAGATAGTAAGAAACATGAGAGAAAACCAAATCCATTTACTACCTTCGTAACAACTGGCATCATTACATTCATTAGGTTCCTGGATATATATTTTTTCCTTATATCTTTTGTACTATCGCAGAAATTTCTGTACATTATTATTCATTAAAAATCTACAAATCATAATAAAAAAAACCGTCATCTTTCCTATGCACAAATCGTCTTTCTCCAAACTTTTGAATATTTGCGAATATTTTGAATTGTTAATAATATATTCTTAAAAAGTTCTTCATTATTGAAATCAATATTTAAATTAAAGATTTTTCAATTTGAATATTTGAATATATAATTTCGATTCGTAATTTCTCTATATATACATCTAATAAATAAAACATTATTCATTAGAGTTTTTACTATTTATTTTTAAAAATTTGTTACGAGAAATAATAGAAAAAATTATGTAAAATTTACTTGTTTTATTTATAGTTCTAGTTCTAATTTTATTTCTAAATTTAAACTAAATATTAAAAATAAAAATTTTATTTAAAAAAATCGATTATTGATTGATGCAACTTAAAGTCTTAATTGAAAAATCAAAATGTAAATATCTTCTATAATAATTTTATATAAACCAAATGAATTAAAATATTAACTTATTTATTATATTTTTATTATTAAAGATATTAAATTAAAATATTTAAAAAATAAAATTATAAGACTTTGTTACAGAAATTGACACAGAAGAATTGGAAACTTAATCTTTTCATTCTAAGCACGAATTTCTAAGGTTTCGTTTGGATGTCCAGATGTCAGACTTTGACTGACAGCGGACAACACAGGTCTGTTGTTTGATTTTTGTTTTTTGGTTTTTTTTTTATTTCATCACGCTACCTTTTATCTCTCACGCACACTCCAAGATTATGATAAAAACATCTGAAAAAGCAGGACTTTCGAATGTTTATGTCCATATAAAACACGCCAGTTATATAAAAAATATATAGGTCAACTTAAAAAGTAAATTTATTTAAAGAAATTCTGAACGAAATCTTTCGAATTTGGCAGTTATTGTAACAAAAGTCTTTACTCTTATAAAGTATGGTTTTATTTTTCTCCAATACTTTAACACATCTATATAAAATGCTTATTTTCTTTCTAAATCTTAACTTATCTAAATGAAATAATTTAATACTTTAAATTACAGTTATATATCATTATTTCTTAATTGATGTGAATTCATAACAACGAATAATGGAGAATATTTTTAAAGATTTTTATATGTACTCTACATATATTATCCAAGACATCTTTTGAATAAAGTATGTAAACGAATAAATATATATAAAAACAAAGAAGATTAATAGATAGTGATGAAAAAGTTCAATATTATACAATAAATATATATTAGAGCTTGTTATATCGATAAATATTATAGTGTTTCCAAAATGGATGAAGGCAATGCAGCTAGAAAGTCAATAATTCTCCGTCCGCATCAGACATCTGTGCTGCAGTTTAGCAAAATCTCACTAATATATTTTAACATTTTTATGGATGTTAAAATTATTTTTAAGATATAAAATTTAATTTATATTTTATTTAAATAAAGTATTTTCGTCAATAAATAATATTTTGTAAAATATTATAAATTTTTACGTTGAAATGTATCAATATAAATAACAAATTGTAATGTCGATAATTCGTATTTTAATTATAATTAAATTATACGGTTATAAAATTAGCAAATAATATTTTCGAAATTTGAAAAATAATAACAGTTTATAAAAATATAATCAAATATTCTACTTATAAATAAAATATATAATTTAATTTCGTTTTGTATCAGCATTTTTAATGTATTTAAAAGTTTTGTATTAGTTTAAGAATAAAATTTAACAAATATAATAATAATAATAATATTATGTCCAAAAATAGGAAAATCTGTAATGACAACGTCAAAACTAAGTAAATTATTTTTGTTTTTGACTTCTTCGAAAAAATTATTTTCGGAATTTAATATAATCAGATAGAAACAGAAGCGACATTTGATAAGAAAATACGATATAAAAGTAATTTTTACAAGAAAATTTGGAAAAATAAACTTCATTTATGAATAAAAAACATTATCAATAATTTATAATCATTCCTTATTCTTACAGATTATTCCAAATATGCCAAAAATAATCATGATAATTTAACGCAAATTTAGACCTGTTTTTATAAAATTTTCGAGTTTTGAGTAACTTATAAACATCCCCAAAATATATTTTTATATATAAAACAAAATTTAAGTTGTTTTAAATTTACTTACAGCTCTCCACCTCAAGACTGCACACTTGTCTGTCCATTGGAAAGTATTGTAAGTCCATAGGACATCCCGCAGTGACTGTTAATCTAAAATATTTTAAAATATTTCGTTAATATTCATAATTAAATTTTCATAATATTTTAAATTTAATTGTATTTAACAAGTACTACAACGCATTTAAATGTATTATATATAATTTAAATCGCGTAATTACTTTATGAAAGCAGAATGGTTAATATTTATAATTAAGTTGTTATTTTCGTAAATATCTTTAATTTATTTGGATGTAAAATATTTTCAAGTTTGTGGAAAAGTATAGCCACGAACATTTTGATAAAATGCTAAATTATAATTAAGAAATTGTGTTAATAATTTGATTATCTAATTCTAAAGAAGAATAAAGCTTTGTTTTCGATATCTATGGCACTATAAATACAATTAATTACGACATCATCGAGGTCAGTTGATAAAATTTGGAATTGTTATCGTCAATGGATGACAATGGTACCATTTGGCAATAAAATATGGGAAATGACGATACTATCTTTTAGCACACTATTTGTTCTCTTCCACATTGCAGATAGGGTGCGGGTCTAATCAGTGAAAAAGAAGCGGGATTCCAAGCAGCAACATCTTTATCTGTCTTCTATTGTCGACATGTCATCCACTTGACGCCAAAACGCCTAGAACCTCCATTAGATAGCATGGATTTACGAGGATTGTAGGGTTATCGAGAGCAGAAGTGACTTTTAGGAATATCAATCTTATTACTTTTGTCTCTACAAGCGAAACTTTTAAAGAAAAATCATCAGATAAATACTAGAAAAATTACTTTTCGTACTCAAAAAAATCTCCAATTTAATTTATAAGCACTGCATATTTATACACAGAGATATTAATTCATGTATACGAATTTAACTTTTTTGTTTTATAATGGATTTTATAGGGAATATATTAATTAAATATAATTGTAGATTATTGTTTTATATTTACAAATGACTTTTTACATTCAGAGTATTATTTAGGTATATCAAAATTATTTTTTAATCATGTTTAGATTCTTCTAAAGTTTTAATTAAAGGACATTTTAAAGATAATTAAAGAAAATATAAAAAATATAGTTAGACGATAGATTTCCTACTTTTTATGATTTTTAAAATTAAATTCTCATTATAATATAAGTTTATATTAGAAAATAGCATAAATAATCCGTAGAAATTAAATTTTGTAATTTTTCCAGAGAGGATTTTGCGAAATAATCATTGTAAAACAATAAGTTGTTTTTCATTTATAATTATGCCAGAAAGGAGACTTGTTTTCTAATCATAATATTAATTTCGAAAAAATTATTATAAAGACAGATACAAAATATAAAGTAGTTTTTGTGTAACTTATATTACTGTTGATGTATTTAATCACTAATATACGTAGAGAATTACTGATTTGACTGTTAAAGATTGTCCTTTGAAGACAGTCCCGTATGATTTGGAGTACTAGTGGGCGCTAGAGTGCAATAATGTGCACTAACCGCACTGAAGTGAAAGTTGGTGCTGGTCATGGAGAATTGGTTCTGCAGGATGAATCGACCTGAAACCGACAGTCTTAAGGTTACCAATACGAACGGTTTAGTGCACATTAGGGGTAACTAGTGCTTCAACCTGAACGTAACTCTTATTTGGTAAGGTTAGTGTTCGTCTCATTGTAAATTTTGTTGTAGAGTTTCTAAAAATTATTCTAGAGATAAATGCCATTTTTATTGTAGTTCCTGAGATCTAATAATTCGTGAGTCAATGTTTAATGTTATATATCTAATAATGTTTTTCATGATTTCTGCATTATCTAGTTCTACATTAGAAACGTTATTTTAATTAATCAAACTAAACATGAGGCAAACAGATGCTGGGATCTGATGCCAAATTTTTGGCGGAATCAAAAATTACAGTAAAAAGTAAGGTTAAGGCTTAATAAACTGTAAAATATTTAGCTTCAAACAAAGCTAAAGTTGGGAATTAAAATTAATAAATTATACTTTTTACAAATTAAAACATAAATTAATTTTTAGAAATATTTTTGCTGTATCAACTGATTAATTTAATCGGAATTTACATTATCTTCATAGTCTTATTGATTCAATATATTTTATACAATTAACATATATAAAATTAACGAAAAAATATAGATTTTAGCATGCCATTTTGTTCCTAGACTTTTCCGGCATTCTTTATTTGTTTTGATCCCTAATAATTCTACCATTATCTTTAAATATTCGGATTGGTTCGGGAGATATTAAAGACCATATCTCACGAACCAATAGTTTTATTTTTCTGAAAATTTCCAGAAACATTCCCCTCTAAATTAGCAAAACTTCCCTGCAAATTTTAAAAAATTTTCGACAAATGACACAGGCGTTATTAAGCTTTAAAACAATAGAGGGAAAATTTTGCCCCCCACACACTAATGTCCATAAATACAAAAAAACAAAAACAAAAAACTAGAAACCTCAAAACCTTAAAACGTCGAGAAATACAAAAATATTTTCGTATTTCTCGACATTTCAAAATTTTGAGTGAAAAAATTTCAAAATCTTTAGGATCATTTTCTAAAAGTTCTCCATATTTTACTTCTGTTATTAGCCGGAAAAGTAAAATCAAGTCTTCTCGTCATAGGACTACGTCATACGTTATTGGAAAATTGTATAGACAAAGATGCTAATATTAAAAAATACGAAATTCGATCCACTTCAAAGTAGGAATGTTTAAAATTATTAAATTAATTTTAATTAAATTAAAATATAATTAGAATCTACTATAAAAGCCTAGCATATATATAAAAAATTAATTTTCCTCTTAAATTAACATATTTTTATTGATTAACTTATTAAAATTTAAATACATTAAAGAGAAGCACGTCATATTTAAATCAACTCTATTATTTATAAATTCGTAATTTTCAAATTCTAAAATGAAAAAAAAAAAACGAATAAGATTATCTTATAGTCAAAAATTCTTATATATTCATTTAAATTAATATTATTTTTTTACATAATTTCTTTCAACAAAAATAAAAATTGCGAAAAAATTCCCCGAAAAGACATGAAGTAGAGCGTACTGAAAACAAGTGATTTGAATAAAGAACTATTTATATTTTCACTTATTTCAAATATTTTTAAGTAACTAGAATGGTAGAGTATACATTTTTATTTAATTTTATATAATTATAATATAAAAATATTTAAATTTTTTTCCTTTAAAATCAGCAGAACATTTATCGATTCGGTTATTTTTAGATGCTCTAAAAAGTATTTACATTTTAAAATTACTACAGTTGACGCGTAATATATTTCTATGCCAAGCTAAATTTCTGATTAGTGATAATTTACTGTAAATATCTTTAAAATTAAGAGAAAAAATAATATGCAAAACGTGTAACTTTTTTTATTTATTACGTTATTAAATTAACTTAATGGCTTCAATAAATATTCGGTAAATAGCAATTTTTTAACAAAATAAATTTCAAAATATGATTCATTTTATACGAAATTATTTTTATTGAATAATCTATTAAATATTTATATTTTTTCTTCTTTAATTTCAAAAATTTCCGTAACTCAGATTACATAAGAGCACAGAATAAAAAATTTGAAGTAAAAATTACATATAATGGACTATATCATGTTGCGAAAATATTCTGGCATTTTTGTAATATAAAATAGTCTATTATCAATATTACTTCCACACGTTAAAAACATGTTACAGGTTGTTACTTTTAGAATATTAACGCTTTCAATGCAGCAAGACTATGGTCTTTTAATACAATCAATTATTTATGGCAACGAATACAAAAATCGATTATGTTTTCCTATTCAAGATAATGTAAAATGTGTAACTTTTTAAGAAAATTATAATTAAAATTAATATTCTATTATGTTTAAAATTAACTTTATAAACGAGTAAATACTTCGAAACCTAATTTTATATTTAATTATTCAACGTAAACATTCTTTATTAAATAAGATTAATTAATGAATAATTTCACAATATTAATAATAAAATTGATTTATTTTACTAGTTTTTTTTTATCTTTCAGTAAGATATTTTGATGCCAAAAAATTCCTGTATATTGGATATGTATGTATATATTTATATATATATATGGAACATTGTATCAGGATGTGTACAAGAATCGGATCATTTATTATTACCTTAACATTTATTCAATAGGTTTATATATAATCGATTCAAAAGCGGTGGCCATTCGAGCATTGCCATGTCTAAAAAAACTTAAAAGTTACAAAAATATTTGAATTTTCTTGGTTTATGAGATTTCTGTGCTTTGAATTCCACCCCCTTTCCGATATTCTGTCGCAATCTGCTCATTGTTGAATAGGAGCCAAGGCTTCGATTTTTGCCAACAGAAGGTTTTGCTCCGAGTGCCAGACAGAATTGTTTGTCTCTTCAAAAGAAAGATTTGTTGAGAATCAGCAAACAAAGCAAATCAGTGAATTTCTATGTTTGATAGTTATTAAGTTCTCTGAAAGTGACAGCAATGACAAGTCACAGGTTGATCGTATAAAATTAACGAAAAAATATAGATTTTAGCATNTAAAGATTTTTATTGTTAAATAAATTGTGTAGAATTAAAGAATTTTGTTCTGTGTGATTATTTATCTATGAAAACATTTTTTTATCATTTTAATCTATATGTTATAGAAAACTGAAAATAGCTACTACCATTTTTAGTATATAATTTCTATAATCTGTTGTTAAACAGGATAAAAGAATGCTAAGATTTATCTTTCTGATATATTTAATCACTTGTAACATGCAAATTTGCTTGCAATATTTTTTAAGTAAATACAGTAAAACTACATTAAGTCAAAGTTTAAGGACTTAATGACTGAATTAATGAGTTTAATATCCAGTTTTCTCAAATTTTTCTGTGGCCATAAATTTTCTGTTATCAAACCATTTCTAAAGAATCTGTTAAGAATGCTTATGAAATTATAAACAGTTTATGGCAATTTTAAGTGTGTTGTCAAGTCATCCCCTTGTGTCCCTTTGACAATGCTGGTAACATACTGTATCAG